CCCGATGGGGTTAAGAATGGAAGGCCAAGTTATACCTTATCGGAGTGGTTGGTACCAGTTAAATTATGTTTTTGCTACGTTAACCATCCTGATGATTTTACGAGTTGTCTAAACCCACCAAAAGCCCATATATTATTTGAGCATCTCACTGTAACCACTTTTTTTTTTTTTTTTAATGTAGTCGACATTAAAATAAGTTTTAAAAAATTATAACATCAAAATTCACACTGAAATTTAATAACTCGCACCAATAGTGTGATTTTTGCTGTTGAGTTGGAAATTTTTTTAATGTAAAAATAACATTAAAATAGACTTTTAGAGTGGTCTTACTGCTCTGTCTTTTTATCTTCCCCGACGAATGATTTGGGGATAGTTCTAAAATTCCCTAACTGCAAATCCAGTCGAAAAATTCAACCTAGTGACAGTGAATTTCGAGGTAAGAAAATGCTGATAACATTATTGTGAATAAATACTTGCCTCATGTTCTTCTGCAATTTGAAAAATCGACATGGATGAAGTTGTGGTAGATTGTTGTTTCATCTGGTGAATGTGACATTTCTGTAGAATCTGTGATCTAAATTGTATTTAAAGATTAGTTTCTGGATGCAATCAAAACTTTTGTTTGTAGTTTTGCTTGGTTCTAAAATGTTTGTGTTTTCTCTTTGTTCTTTCACAGAGCGAAACTTCATCCTTAAAGGGAACATGAAACAGAACGTCTCGAAGGGTGGTCTAACAATTTCTCAACGCGTTACGCGATCAAGAACCACATTTCAACGAAACTCGTTGCCTCTTCCTGATGAACTCGTTTTCGAGATATACTCGAGGTTGACTTTGAAGTCTATAGCTATATGTCGTTGCGTATGCAAACTTTGGTCCTCTATCCTTCGCCGTCAAGATTTCACTGAGTTGTTCTTGACAAGATCTTGTGCTCGACCTCAGCTTCTTTTCGCATGTGAAGATTACAGCCACGAGATTCACTTCTTCTCGTCGCCTCAGCCCGAAAATCCGGAAGACAACTCGTATGTCGTAGCCTCCAATCATCTTGCACGTCTCCCAAGTTCCTTTGAACTGTTTGGTTGTACCAATGGCTTCTTCTGTTATGGAGCTGAACGGATCTTCATCGGGAAGAAAATGAAATATTTTGTCCCGGTGATATGCAACCCCAGCACTGGACAGTCCTTGACCTTACGGAATTTGAAGCCAGCGAAGAGGTTTCTTGTGGAAAGCTATCTTGGATATGATCCCATTGCGAAAGAATTCAAGGCGTTGTCATTGGAAAGCTCGCATGTAACTGGAATCTCTGGGGAGCATCAAGTCCGGACATTAGGAACCAAGAATTTGTCATGGAGGTTGGTCGAGTGTTGTGTACCACATTATTCTTCTTGTAAGTGTATATGCATCAGTGGTGTTCTCTATTACACAGCTGCATCCAACCGTTCGTGTTTCAGTCCCATGGTAGTTTGTTTTGATTTGAGGTCTGAGAAGCTCAGCTTTGTCAAGTTCATGGAAACTTTCAGTAGAGCAATGGAGCAATCAACGACAATGGTAAACTACAATGGCAAGTTAGGGTTGCTAATGTCAAGGGATTATGGTCCTGTTACAAGTGTAAGTACAAGTTTTGAGCTGTGGGTTCTACAAGACGCTGAATGGTCCAAGCATGTATACGTATTACCACCTTCGTGGAAGGATGTGGTTGCAGAGAGCATGCGCATTGCTGGAATGGTTGGTACAAATGAAATCGTCTTCTCTCCGAGCGACCAAAGAGTGCCTTCCTATGTCATCTACTACAACGTGGAGAGCAAGATGATCAGAAAAGTTGGAATCCAAGGGCTGGAAGCTTTTCAGGGTAAAAGATTCGACACCTATCTCAACTATGTTGAGAATGTGAAGCTTCTTTAAGCATATTTCAAATCAAAACTTCTTAAGAATTAATCGAGGAAGACACATATAAAAAGCAGAAGAAGCTGAACGAAAAGCTATAGATGATGATAATTCAATTATTAAGAAAGTTGAACCAAAACTGAGGTGTTTATTCTTTAGAGTGTTTATACAAACGTCATCTTTGAAGGAGACAATCAGAAAATGATAAACATACTCAACAACAATGATCTCCACTTTGGAGGTTATAATTGGGTTCGTGAGATTAGATGGTGGTCTACTAAATTCCAGTCCGTTGAGTTTAAATGGGTTAGAAGACAAGACAACTCGGTGGCAGATAAATTGGCTAAAGGCTTAACTCAACCGGGAGTCACGTTTAAAAGTTTTAACTATGTTCCAATGTTTATTACTACTTTGTTGCATCAAGACTATGTATGTTCAAATTTAAATGATTAAGGAAGTAAGAAGTTAAAAAAAAAAAAAACTAAGCTTGGCATGCAAAATGTGAATTTAATATATTGTTCAGTTTCTCTAATTATTTACCTTTACTTTAAACCAATCATGCACACACCCACACTCTTGTTTTTCGTTTTTGTATAAGAACAGAGAGAAACTTCACTTCTCAGGGAAACCTAACTCAAGTGTCTCCGCCATGAAACCACTGCGAAAAAACATGACCATTTCTCGGCGCATACACGATCGACAACCACACTTCATCGGAACTCATTTCCGGTTCCGGATGAACTGATTGTTGAGATATTCTCGAGGTTGTCGTCAGGCCGCATAGCGAGATGTCGTTGCGTATGCAAGCTCTGGTTGTCAACGCTTCGAGGTCAAGGTTTCACGGAGTTGTTTTTGACCAAATCGTGTGCTCGCCCTCAGCTTCTTTTCGCCTGCGATGCTAGCACGATTTTCTTCTTCTCGTCGCCTCAGCCTGAAAATCCAGAAGAGAACTCGTATGTTGTAGCCTCCAATCATCTTGCGTATTTCCCAAGTTCCTATGAACTGATTGGTTGTACCAATGGCTTCTTCTATTATGTAGCTAAGATGACCGGGAAGGAATTCAACCTTTGTGTCCCGGTGATATGTAACCCCAGCACGGGTCAGTATTTAAACTTACCAAGATTGAACTCGGGGAAGAGTTGTGGAGTGGAAAGCTATCTTGGATATGAACCCATTGCCAAAGAGTTCAAGGTATTTTCAATGGAGTGGTCGTGTGTAAATGGTGTGATTATCTCAGTGGAGCACCAAGTTCTGTCATTAGGAACCAATAAACTGTCATGGAGGTTGGTCGATTGTTGCGTACCACATTATCCTTCTCGTAAGTGGATATGCATCAGTGGTGTTCTTTACTACGCAGCTTCAGCCTACAGATCTTCCTTGAATTCTATGGTAGCTTGTTTTGATTTGAGTTCTGAGAAGCTCAGCTTTGTCAAGTTCATGGAAACGTTCAGTAGAGCAATGCATCATTCAACTATAATGGTAAACTACAATGGCAAGTTAGGTTTGCTTATGTTGAGGGATTCTAGGGATGTTAGTCAAGCTAGTACAAGTTTTGAGCTGTGGGTTCTACAAGACTCTGCAAAACATGAGTGGTCCAAACATGTCTACCTATTACAAATATTATCTGTTGCGGAGACCATGTGCATCTCTGGAATGGTTGGAACAAATGTAATCGTCTTCTCCCCGATTTACCAAAGAGTCAATTTCTATGTCATCTACTACAATGTTGAGAGTAAGACTATCACAAGAGTTGGAATCCAAGGATTGGAAACGTTTCAGGGTAAAAGTCTCAACATCTATCTCAATTACGTTGAGAATGTGAACCGTCTTTAAAAAAATTAAAGAGATAAGTGTAGTTTTTGTTTTGTGTGTTTCTTTTTTAAGAATTTTGAGTTGCATTCTTCGAGAGTTTATCATGTGTTAAAACTTCTTAAGAAATAATCGAGATACTCATAAAAAGCATAAGAAGTTGAATGGAAAGCTATAGATGATGATAATTCAATTATTAAGAATGTTGAACCAAATTGATAGATGTTTATTTTTGAGTGTTTTTTCTCTGAATGTTTATCACATGTTTTTTTTTGTTTTGGTCAAAGTTTATCACATGTTAATTTTCAATTTAACGTTCTAACTTCAAAGTACCTAGTCAACTTGTGTCCACACAGTTACTATGTAGAGAGATGAATCGTTTGTCATTCAAATACAAAACATAAGTAAAATGTATAATAAAATATTTACAACAGGGTTTATATGCATAGAGAAAACCATAGAATAATTAAAAGTCTAATTTATATGTTACAAACAATATAATTTTTCTAAACATAATATATACATATATATATATATACAAATACGAACACAGTGATCTAGTGGTAAAAGTTTAAAGGTTTTTACACCAAGACTGAGATTCGAATCCCAGACTACACAATTTCAATTTCCGAAGAAGGTAAATGGCAAATTATGCACAGATTATTCAAACCTGAATCCGTTTGCAATGCAAAATTAAACAGTATTAATAAAAAAAAAATCTTCAAACTATGGGCCGTCAAATTTGATGTATGCCCCACAGGTCGATAGTGGTCCCCATAGCTTACACAACGGCTTTCTTTCTCGAACTTGAGTCACACGTTTTTCGTCTATTCTTGTTTCTCTGTTTCTATTCGAGAAGAAGATGATTTTCTTTCTGGGCGTGATGTGGTCTCTAAGTTTTTGTCTTTATCTCTTTAGGAATCTGGCTCCTGTCTTTATTCACAGCTTTTCTTTGTTCTGTTTCTTGACTTTTCCTGTTAAAACAATTCGTTTCTTTGTAGGAAATTTACCATTTGTAGCTTATGCCTACAACCTGTTTGCGTATATTCCTCAGATAACATGAAGGTTGCTCAAAGGGAGAAGAGACATTCTCACACTGTTGAATTGATTCTTGTCGTGGGTAAAGCTTTCTCTTTTTGGTCTTACTCTTTACGTATGATTCATTTTTCTCCCTGGTTCTTGCATAGATAGTTTGATTGGTCTCTGTTGTTCTCAATCCTCAATGCTGGAGAGAGACTAGATTGAAAAAGAGATGGTTCTATTGTTCAGACACACGCTATCTGAACTGTTAGTTTGATTGCTTTGTCTCCATGGGGCTGGGCACTGGCAAATCTGTGGCTATAAGGGCAGTGATTATGGCCTTTCTGGTGATTCCAATGGAATGCCAAAGGCCTCAAGTGGTGAACCTCGGTGCTGTTTTCACTTTTGATTCTGTTATCGGAAGAGCTGCAAAAATAGCTCTGGAGGCAGCAGTCTCCGATGTGAACGCTGACACAAGCCTTCTCAAAGAAACAGAGCTACGTCTGTTTATGGAGGACTCTTCTTGCAATGTCTTTCATGGGTCCTTCGCAGGCACCATAACTTTTCTTACTTGTTCCTTTTTTTGTTGTTGTTGTCAGAACATAATAAACCTAACTAGAACATGTGTGTTCCTGCACATAATTGGTTATTTTCAGCGTTTGAAGTGCTTGGGAAAGAAGTGGTGGCTATAATAGGTCCAATATCATCCTCCATCGCTCATACATTATCAGATATTGCAAAAGCGCTCAAGTTCCCTCTCGTCTCATTTGCAGCAACTGATCCGACACTCTCTGCTCACCAATTCCCCTTCTTTCTCCGGACTACACCAGATGATTCCCACCAGATGTCCGCCCTTGTGGGTCTCATCGATTACCACGGATGGAAAGAGGTGATATCTGTTTACTCAGATGATGAGCTCGGAAGAAACGGAGTTTCTGCTCTAGATGATGAACTTGACAAGAAAAGACTCAGAATATCCTATAAACTGCCTCTCTCACTACATTCTGATGAAAAATATGTTGCTGATGCTTTGAACAAATCCAAGTCCATCGGTCCTCGTGTCTACATTCTTCATTTTGGTCCTGACCCTTTGCTCAGAATCTTCAGCGTAGCGCAAAAGCTGCAGATGATGAGCAGTGGATACGTCTGGCTCGCCACAGACTGGCTCTCAGTTTCCTTGGATTCTTCTTTGAGTGATAAAGGTACTTTCAGACGTCTTGAAGGAGTTGTGGGGCTTCGTCAACACATACCAGAATCCAAAAAGATTCGTCAGTTTACAAAAACACTGAAGAGCAAGAGTTCAATGAATGCCTACGCTTTCCATGCATATGATACAGTGTGGACGATTGCATACGGCATCGAGAAAATGCTGAATGAAGGAGTCAACATAACATTCTCTTACTCCAAGAAGTTAACTCAGTCACAAGGAAATAAACTGCACCTGGAGAAACTCAAAATTTTCAACAGAGGGGAGGTACTACTTGAGAAACTTCTTAAGGTTGACTTCACTGGTTTAACCGGTCAAGTTCAGTTTGGTTCTGGTCGAAATGCCACTGGCTGTGACTATGAAATCATCAATGTAGACAAAACTGGTGTTCACACTGTGGGTTTCTGGTCAAAATATGGTGATTCCAGACAAACACAAAAGAAGAATGGCTTTGTTTCTGATCAAAAACTTGGTAACATAACCTGGCCTGGTGGTGGCCGTGAAAAGCCACGTGGATGGGTCATTGATTCCGCAAATCCATTGAAGATTGTTGTCCCTAAAAGAGTGAGTTTTGTCGAGTTTGTGACTGAAGACAAGAACAGTAGTAGCCACCATATTCAAGGCTTATGCATTGACATTTTCATTGAAGCATTGAAGTTCATCCCTTACAATGTTCCTTACAAGTTTGTGTCATTTGGGGATGGCCATTCAAGTCCTAATTACAGCAAGATTATTCAAATGGTATCAGATGGTGTAAGTATCCGCTTAAAAAAAAATCTACAAAACTGATTCGATAAATCACTTAACATTCTCAGAGTAACTTTCAGGTATATGATGCAGCTGTTGGGGATATTACAATAGTCCCAACCAGGTCCAAACTAGTAGATTTCTCGCAGCCATATGCTTCCACAGGCCTTGTGGTGGTGATTCCTAATGGCCACAATGGGACTTGGATCTTTCTGAGACCATTCACCACACAGTTATGGTGCGTTTTTCTAGCTTCATTCCTCTGTATTTCCGTTGTCATCTGGATCCTCGAACATCGCATCAACGAAGATTTCAGAGGGCCACCACGAAGACAAATCATCACAGTGATCTTGTAAGCATCCACTGAACTTTGATAGTTCATTCTTGGAGTTTTCTCTGACATTTCTAGCCTGTTTCTTTCCCTTGCAGTTTCAGCTTCTCCACTCTCTTTAAGAGAAACCGTGAGTAGCCTCAATCTCATCATAAAATAAATAGTTAACATAAATTTGTTATATACATTAAACAAGTGAATACTATGTAAGTTGAAATTGATAAAATTTTGACAATTCAAATTACCAAATTTATTTTTTCTTACAGATGAAGATACAATAAGCAATCTAGCGAGACTAGTGATGATTGTATGGCTCTTCCTATTGATGGTTCTAACGGCGAGCTACAAAGCGGAAGTCACATCAATCCTCACAGTTCAACAGCTTCCTTCTCCCATTACCGGCATTGACAGCTTGCGAGCAAGTGAAGTGCCTATCGGTTACCAGTCTGGGACATTCACTTTCGAGTACTTAACCTACGGTCTTGGCATTGGTCGGTCTAGACTGGTCGCACTTGACTCGCCTGAGGATTATGAAAGGGCTCTAAAGCTAGGACCAACCACTTTGGGAGGCGTAGCTGCCATTGTTGACGAGCTCCCTTACATTCAACTGTTTCTAGCTGAACGGACTGGTTTCAAGATTGTTGGAGAGCCGTTTATGAACCGTGGTTGGGGATTTGTAAGTACACTTTTATGTTTCTTCTCTTGTATTTGCGTGATAAGTGGATTGGCCCATCCATCTTATATATCACTTAGGATCATTTCCAAGTTCTGATGTGGGAGACTTTGTCTCTAATAAACAGGCGTTTAAGAGAGATTCTCCACTGGCTATAGACATGTCAACAGCGATCTTGAAACTCTCTGAGAAGAGAAAACAGCAAAACATTGGGAAGAAATGGCTATGCAAGACGAGTTGTCTAGAGAAATCAGATTGGAAACCAGAGCCAAACCAGCTTCGTCTCAGGAGCTTCAAAGAATTGTACCTTTTCTGCATTGCAATCACTGTCTCTGCGTTGTTGGTGTTTGTTCTCAGGATTATACGCCAGTTCGTGCGGTACAGACGGATGGAGAGGACAAGATTGACGCCACGAGCTTGGTTATGGGGGTTGATGTTTGATTTCATGGAGTTTGTGGATGAGAAAGAAGAAGCTATCATGAGAATGTTCAGAAGAAGTGATGACTCTAACAACAACCCATCTCATGTTGTGGAACTTCAAGATGATTCTGAGGTAAGACAAAGTTGATGAGTAGACTCCACTTTATAGAAAGGAAACTTGTATTGTAATTAGATATGAGCTAACATGTAAGCCAACACTAGAATCTTTTTTTTCATTTTTTTGTTCTGAACCATCTCTGGGATGGTTTAAGTTATAGTCATCACAAATAAAATCATCAAAACCAAAAAAAAAAAGAGCAAAAACCGTTAGAGAAAGTTCAAAAACCATATTTGATAAATAGAGAAAACGAGTTGATAAGGTTCCAACAACAACAATGAAACAAAACGCACATAAACTGAAATAACAAAAGTTTTAGCAAAAGTTCAAGCATGGTTTCTTCTCAGGTTCATTCCATTTCCTGTTCAAAAAAGTCAAGAAAGTCACGTAGCAGGCATCAACGGTTTTAAGTTTCTTTACTAAAATGGGTTCAATGATGTACCTTTCAAACAATCTGCTGATTAAAGTGAGCTTGGATCTTATCCACAATTGCTAAAGTCAGATGCTCGGTGATTCTAACAGAGGTCAATTTCAGCCTAGCTCCAGGATCTGCTGCAACCAGAACCTGAAAGGCAACACTGACGAGTGACCCTCCTTCTCTTCCTTGCTGAGCCGTACCATCTGGAAGAATAGCAAAACCCACAGGAAGTAGTGGCACATTGTCAGGGTCACCTCCCAAGAGAACATTCTCTATCAATGATACATCAACAGGTGCATAGATCACAAATGAAGCTGTTGGATCAATAGAGGTCTCTTGAATCATCAACATCTTGTTCTGGCTAGTGTTTGGGGTCTGTAACCAACCAGAAACACATTAGTTAGTCACATCTCAAATAATCAAAAACATACCAAATATAGAGTAACTTTTATACCCGGAGTAAAGATACACAGTTCCTACTGTCTCTCCCACTTCCAATCTGTGACATCAACTGCACATCTTCCCCTCCAGTAGTGATAACATCCCACTGCAGATAACATTTCAAAACATTTTATATATCAAGAAAGAAAGCAAAAGGAAGAGGAGTTATTGTCCCCAAAATAATGTACTAACACTGGTTCGATTCTTGGCATCTTTGAGGAAGTCAAAGACAGTGTTGGGAGGAACAGGGAGCCAGAACGAAGTGGATGCATATAGAATGACCCCTACAGGCCTTCCTGGATCATTCAAGCTCTTCTGTGTCATCACTCTTACGGGACATTCTTTATTACCAGACAAGTTAAGCCATATATCTTCACTCGAAGTGGCCACTCCAGAAAGGAAACTTCTTGTCATCCGCTCAGCTATTTTCATAATGCTTTGCTTTGCATTGTTGGTTACTGCACCATTCCACAAAAACTCACAAAATGGTTAAGGAAACAAAAAGAGAGAGAGAGAGAGAGAAAGTTTTAACTCTTAGAAGCAATGTTAGTGATTAGGTAAGATCATAAGGAAAAGTAAATACTTGTTAGACCATCCGGTTCTATGGATGGAACGTTTGGAGCCATGATGAAGGCTAAACGCTCGCACTGGCGTTCCAATGTTTCAACCCAACGTTCAGCACTTAAAGCTTGACCAGAGCTGATTAAGGACTTATATAAGGGGTGTACTTCTCTGTCATCTACCTCCACATGCTCAACCCAAGTCACCTTTTTTTCAAAAACCACAAGATAACCATATAATTTTATTTTACAAAACTAATTTCAACTGAACTGAACTGAACAAAAAAATTACTGTTTTTGATTTGGTTCCGGTTCTGAGATTGATTTAGTTGGAATGCTTTTTAAAGTACTTCCGTTTTTGGTAAGTTTAGTTTTGAAAAAAAACTTAACCAAATTATCCAAAATTAATTTAAATAGTGATAACTGGACTAACCAAAAACAACCAAATATGTATAGCCGAATAAAAAATACTATCAGACTTTTAAAAAATTTAAACTGAAATCTAACTGAAACCAAGAAATTCAGTTATCTTCGGTAAAAAAATAAAAAATAATACAAATGTAATCAAAACCAAACAAAACCGAAATCGAAAATATCCGACCCAATAAACCGAAAACCGAATCCGCAGGGCTACACAAAACCATAACAAGACAATTAAACACAAAGTCTAGGAGTACCTTGCAGAATCCATTCTGCATCTGTTGAATCAGACATCCAGAGGGTCGTTTCCGACATTTAAGTTTAATGTTTGGAAAGAAATGGTCTATGGATACATCGACTACCGCCCATATACCGTCACCTTGCTGCTTACAGTTGCGGACGAAGTAGCATTTTCGGGTTGAGACTACTGGCGAAAGGACTTGGTATTCAGCAATCATCTATGAAGTGATAACAACATTAGCATTAGTAATATTAATAATATTGTTCTTATTGTAGAACTCTTCTTTAACTTGTACATATATTGTATAGAAAGAAGTTTAAAAGATCTACCAGATGGAACGCTCCGTCAAAGTTTCGTTGGCTTCCAGTCAAGATAGTGTCATGACTTATGGCTCTAGCAACCATTCTAGCAAACATGTTCGACCATAAATTCTGCCAAAAAAATAAATAAATAAATTCTGCTAAAACCACATTAATTAATCACAACACCTTTTAGGCACTATTAATGTATGTACGTTGTTGACAAGCGAACATTTAATTTAACTTACCACATCCATTAGTATTTGAACAATGTCCAGATGGTTCATGAACACAATTGAGGTTGCCTTGGATGCTTCGGTTCTAAACCCATTCAGTACAGGCCCGAGTCCGTTCCTAAATGTTCTTGTGTATTCAGTCAAGTTTAAAGCTAAGCTCGTTTCATTAGCTCCTACGTTCCACAGCGGTTCATCTAGTTGAGCCATCGCCATTAGCTCCTCCATGGCTACACCTGCCAGCTTTATGATCAACGACGTAGTGGCATCTTTTACTCTAAGGACTGACCCCGGGAGGTTTCCGATACTTCCATTCACTTCTCTTCTATTAGATCCTATCCCTTCAGAAGGTCGAGCTGGAACAGGCGGAGTCGAAAGGGTATAGTTCATTACAGGCTTGGCCACCACCAAAGATAATTGACAGATCTAGCACAAAAGACAAAAAAAGGTTTTAAATTAACTGATTTTATATGTATGAACTACATAGCTTAGTGATATGTTATAGTTGCATAACATATAGTATAAGAATGACCATGTTGATGAGAGTGGTAGACTAATCATATATGTGTATGTGTAGCATTTCACGTTAAAAATACATTTATAAGGGTGCATGGCTCACTTATTCATCTCCAAGTACACATATATATAGTACCTACGTACCTCTTCAGTCAACCGAGCATTTTCGAGGCGAAGAAGATGTTCCCTGAAAGACATTTCACCAATTGCGGTTTTACCTCCACACTTAGGACACACGGCATTAGCAATAGATGCTCGACATTGGTAGTTTTCAGCTCTAAGCCTATCGTTCTCCGCTCGAAGTAGTGAGTTCTTATGGTGTACTTGATTATTCTGCCAAAAAAGGACCAAACCTAGTGGTTATACATATATATTTAGAATTGATAGATTACAAAACAACGAAGTTTATGGTTTTCAAGTGAGTTAAGGATTAATTTAGTAAAAGAAGTAATCATGAATATTGTTTGCGTTCGAGCAACACTCATACGTTGTACGCTTCACCATTTATGCGTGTTTGAAAAACGTTGTGCATAATCAATGTGTATTGCATGTAATACACTCTCACATTAATGTCAATACTATATATGTGTAATCATCAATCTAAATTTTTCTACCATGAATCAACCAAATATAGTGAATGTGACAAAGATTGAATATGTGGGAATTGATGATGAGTTTATTAACATATGTACCCTATTCTGGGTGCGTTTGTTCTGGAACCAGAATTTGACCTGACGCTGGTCTAATCCCAATTGACGGCTAAGATCTTTCCTTTGCGTTTCATCTGGATGAGGACACTCTTTGAAGAAACTATTCGACAAAGAAACAAAACAAAAATGAAAGTTAATGTTTTGTAGTTATATACAATACACAAAAAGAAAGTTAAGAAAGAGTTACTTTTCCAGTTCCTGGATTTGAAGTCTGGTGTGACGATGACATCGTTTTCTCTTATTAGGAGGAGCTGGATCTTGATGATCGCTTCCATCTTCTTGATTCTCACTTGTATTCACACTGTCGAATTCCTCATCCCCAAAAATAAGACTACCATTAATGTTGTTGTTGTTGGTGGTGGTGGTGTTATTGTTTCCGTTGTTGTTATCACCGTCTCCAATATTGTTGTTCATCTCCACTGGTACCATGTTGGGCTGAGATATTTTTGCTAATGTCTTAGAAATTGGTTATGTAGACAGCCAAATTAATAATGTTGTAGTTTATACCCTTTACTAATGGATACAAACATTCTAGTAATTTACACTCCATCTCTTTCAGATTGATCTATGTTTTAGAAAGAAAAAAAATTATTTCTAAAAAATTTATGTTTTACATTTTCAATGTAGATAATAATGAAAAATTATCAGTTTCAAAGATATTAAATATGTTTACTTACTTTTGATTGGTTAAAAATCATAGAAAAAAACTAAACAAAATAAATAATACATTTATTAAATAATTTTATGTGTTTTTTTAATAAGTGTGAAAATTCTAGAATATACATTATTTTGAAACGAAGGGAGTATTAATTATTTTATTTTATAAATTTTTAAAATATAGAAAGTGTCCTAATACAGATGTGACATCATACAATTAATTACTTATATTTTAAATATATCAATAACAAAATCATTTTGTAAAGGTAAATTACTTATTAATTAAGCTCAAATATTATATCAAAAACGAGAAATTTGAAATACTGAAAAACACAACGGCACTCAAAATTTGAAATACTGTAAACACCTTTTTAATCTTTGTTTTGAAAATATGATCAACCAATATATATATAATTAAGCACTAAGACCGGTACTAATATAACCTAGAATAATATGTAATATTATATATTTATTAGTTGTTCAAAAATAAAATATTTATTTATTTTATATTAGTTATCAATACATATAATAGAAACTATAGATTCGTCGTAAACTAATCTACCCCTTCGGTCAAATCTGATTACAGTAGCACCCAAAATTTTGAACATTGAGTATTTTTTAATTAATCATGTATATATAATATGGATTAATTGGACAACCACCGAAGAAGATCGAACTATAATAACTATGTAAGAATTTAAAGAAAATTGTATAATATTTTAAAATCAATTCTCTGAATATATTTTTCGTTTATCTCTCTGTATATGTAGTCAGATCTTTCCCGGTGGAGATCTAACGATGTAAGATATATAAATAATTTTGTACACATACATATATAGCGTACATAAACGTCATGCATGAAAACATAACTTTTTTTACTATAGCACGAAAATATAAATTGAAAAGGATAAGTAAGACTAAGAGAATCCAGCGATACCTTTATGGTTCCTTTGTTTGCTTCGTCTCTCACTCTCTTTCTATAAACGAGAAGAAAAAAATATAGATATAAATCTATGAACAAAATATTGTCCAGGTAGCAGTATATATAAGAATCATGTATCATTTTATTTATATGGACATGATAGATAATTAAATAAGTTATTGATGATTAGCTACTTTACCATAAACTGAATGGTTCAATAAATTTCACAATTATTAATGAGAAAGATAATGAAGATTACAAATATACGTTGTCGATTAAGAATAGGACAAACCAGTGAAGAACAGGCAATGAGTTTGGTCGGAAACCGCTGGTGGTTTAACGAAGCGGTTTAGAGGCGTAACGTTCAAAGGAGAGAGTTAATGGGAGTGTTGAAAAGAGGATTGGTGAGTGTGCTATTGAATTTAGTGGTGATATATATATATATATTGTGAGAGGGAGAAGCACACTTATTCTATATCGACCGTACACACTCAAAGAAAAGAGAGACAAAGAAGAGAGATTGATAGAAAGAGAAAGAAATCTCAAAGAAGTATGACTTTTTCAAAGGTTCTACCTTTCTATCCTTGATATAATTGGTTGCCATTTGTGTTATGTTTTACTCAATAATATTAATTGAATAGTAGACAACTAAATTTAGTTCGTTTTTTATCATAAGAACAAAAATGTTACTTTACAATTTAATGTGTAATATATATTTTATTTTGACTTTTCAATTTAAGAAATAAAAAAATCATAAATAATTTATGGTAGGAATATGCACATATTTGTAAAATAATATCACATTATCTAATTTTGTTTTAAAATCTAACTTTTTTTACTTAAATACACTATAAATATGATTTATAAATATTAATAAAAGAGATAAATAATTCTTTCAGGAATACATAATATTTTCTTAATTTTAAATTAAATTTACGACTGTTTGTTCACAGATTAATCTTATATATTCAAAATTGGTTCATTTATATATGTTACATATATATACTATCAACATTTTCTTAATGGAAAGTAAATTTTAGGCAGTAAATCAGTCATATCCAAAATGATTTTTTTTTAGATTCAATTTGTACAATTATAAATTTTGTTAATATATAACCAGGTCTATTAAAATTTGGTTCAATGGGGAAAAGTATTTTAATAAGTATTGACTAGATCTATCATTTGTTAAAAAAAAAATAAAGTGATCAGAATAAGAAACATGAAGTACAACTTAAAATGATATTCTTACTAATTTGATCGATTATGAAAATTAAAAAAAAAATTGTAGTCAATAAAATAAAGATATGTAAAATTTATTTTGGAAACCACATTAGCGGAGATAATTTAATAAATATTGACTTGACTGATCATTTATTAAAAAATAAAGTGATACGGGTAAGAAATGTGATGTAAAATCTAAAATAGTTTTCTTACTAATTTGATCGATTAAGAAAATCTTAGAGATAATATTTTAGTCAACAGAATAAAAATATGTAAAGGTTATTTTGGAAACCACATAAGCGGAGATACTAATCAAATATCATTACAAGTAGTTCCTTAGTCAACTATTTTATCACCAAGTTACTAAATCAAATGAATGAGACCAGAATAATAGTCCTATTTTTCCTTTTTTTTTTAAAAAACTGAAAATTACTATTAACTAAAATTAACAAATAAGAGTAAAATTTTAAGCTCTAGTGTATATAGTTTAGTTTGTTTGCAAAAACTAGATTTGTATAACCCATATTGTAAGTTAGTTTACTCCAAATTGAACATCCAACATTGATATCTGGGTAGTTTAAATATATGGTCGGACAGTGTTTCAAACAAAATATATATGGCGAACAAAAATACCAAAAAACAAAAACAAAAAAAAACAGTTTATATGTTAAAATTTTGCAAAGCAAATAAATAATTATATAGAGTCGATCATGAGCCCAATTTGTGATTTACACCAAAACGGAAGTGTAGAGCTTATATGCTAAAAGTGTTTCAAAGCGACCAAATAACTATATCAAATGAGTATAAGCCCATTGTGTGATACACCCGGAAGAATCAGTCCTTCGAGCATCTAGGACATCTTACTAGGCACTCCTTGGTTGATAACACAAAAATTGTCTCTTACAATCTTCATTCTATCTTCTAATTGAGGTCCAACTTCATACAGTATCCACAAAAGAAAATTTCAAAGTAATTTAGATATAAATCTAATAAAAATCGTATATTTAACATGATATATAGCAAAATATACAATTCTTGAGAAATTTGCACTTAATTAAATTCTTCCATAAGGCCTCGATTGGTACAACATGTGATAAACTAGTAGCAGTATGCGATAGAAACAATATGGTGCAGAAGTTATATGCTTTCATTAAAAAATTCTGAAAAGTGATTGGTAGATCAGTAGTAGTATACAATTTTTAAAAATATCATAATAGTTAGTATAACAATATATTTATTTTAAAATAATATTTATATATTTAAAATATATATTAATAATAGAATCTATATTAATAATATAATTTTATTAATAATAATGAATGCTATTCATTATATAAATTATATTATAGTCTATATGTGACATATTATTATTTAAAAATGTAAACTTTATTTTTAAAATATTAAATTGTTTTGGATATAAAAATATTCTAATATTATAAAATTAATTAAATTAATTAGAATTTATATGTAAATTATAATTATTTATATATTGGTAGAGTAGTAAATGATTCATATATAAAATTATCATTAGATTAATATATGTTATATAATTTATTTATTAGTGTTTAATATATATATATATATATATGTGTGTGTGTTTATATCTATAATACATAAATATATATTATGTTTGTTATTAAAATTAATAAACAATATGTGTAATTATATAAATTATATTATATTTTAAATGTGAAATACTGTTCTTTTAAAAAATTCAAAAATATTTAATTATAATTTTTATTTTTAAAATATAAATATATTTTTTCATTATAATTTTTTATATTAATAAACAAAAATAAATCAATTATATATAATTATTTTTAAAGTTTTATATATGTTAACTTCAAATGTTCTTCTAAAAGCTCATTGAGCAAAGAGCATTTATAGAGCATTTGCATTTAATAAATATTTTTTTAAATGCTTCTTGATCTAATGTTGATTGGATAATAGAGAGCATAATACTTATGTTAATGATGTAGCAATCAAACCCTAGGTTGTTAGATAATATCAATCAGTTTTAAGATTAAGCAGAAAAAATTAAGGGAATTATTAAAAAAATGTTTTGACTATTTTCCGTAGGCCTGCGCATTCGGATATTCGGTTCGGTTTCGGGTATATCGGAAAAATCATTCTTATATCCAATAGGTACTTATGAGATTTCGGTTCGGTTTCGGTTCGGTTCCGGGTAACCATTTAATATATAAATCAAATATATATATATATATATATATATATAATATATTAGTTAATATGTTAATTTAAATGGTCTAGTGTTTACATGCTTATATATTCGTCAATCCAACAAGAGTTCGAACCAATAGAGTGTTAATTTTATAAATATTTATCATATTTTAATATAGAAATACCATATATATTTATAATATAACAGAATAAATAAAATATAACATGGTTTGGTGGTGAAAGGTACTTACTCTTTGTATCTAACCTGGATTCAAGTGGGCTTGGTGTCATTTTATCTTATTTTTAAAAAATTTAACTTGTTTTTTCGGATTTTCGGGTACCCATTCGGTTTCCGGTTCGGTTCCGATTCCAGTTCGGTTTTCGGGTATAAAAATATAGGAACAATTTGGATATTTAAGAATTTTGATCCGGTTTCGGTTTGGAGAAT